GTCCCGGGTGGCAGCATGCGCCCCCCCCCCCCCAGCTACTTGACAATGTTGGGAGCACTGTTGGGACTCCAGGACGGGCAGCAGGCTCATGCTCCTCCCCAAACACTGTTGAGCAGCTGGAGGACCATGTGTGTGGGCAAGCCACAAACAGCAACTGGGCCCTGTGGGTTCTGCCTGCTTTCCAGTGCCCGGGGGTGGATGCCTGCTCAGAGACAGTCCTGGGCAGCATAACTCCCAGGTTTGGAGCTGAAAAAAACCATCTGACCTGGTAGCAGAACTTTCTTCATGACTGTTTTTTAAATCTCACGAACAATTGTGTCAAAAGATGGCGGTGAGAGGAACCACAGATCCCTCCCCAGCACATACACACAAAGCACCTGTCATGATCAGGGCTGTGCCACCAGAGGCCTAGCAGGCCCAGGGAGCCTGGCTAGCAGCAGGGGAGGCTGGGCCTACAAACCCCAGAAGGCCTTGGGAAGTTTTGGCGCCGATTTTGACCAACAGGGAAGAAGAGGGCTGGGGAATATAAGAACTGGTACAAGAGGAAAAGCTGTTCTTCTTCCCAGGAAGCAGGGCCAGAAGAAAGAGGCTGCTGTGGGGAAGAAACCCTCATCCTGAAGGAAGGGTGAGTAGTCTGAGGTCACTTGAGATAGTGAGCTATGGACAGTATATTAAGACGCGTTAGGGCATTTGATTTTTATTTTCACCCACTTACTGTTATTATTCCTGCACCTTGTTTGTTTGACCCCCTATAAAATAAATATTTTCCTTGTTGTTTACTCTGCCTGGTTCTCACGCCTGTTACTCAGCCAAAAGGGAGGTCTGAAGGCCTTGGGAGAGTGCTCTGGGCCCTCTCAAGGGATCCTAAATCCAGAGTGGTGGCAGCGTCAGGTGACACCCCACCTGAGCCATGACAGCACACTGTTCATAATTGCAACCACTCAGTGCGTAGAACCAAAAGGTGGGCCCAGACGTTTAACTGCTGTGATCTAAAGCACTGAGATGGGGTGGCTCCTCCCTCTTAAGGGCTAACCCACCAGAGGATCAAAAGCTCCAGATCCACAAGATCTTCCACAACCAACACAAGATCTTCCACAACCAACACTGACTACCCTGACCCCAGGGCTCTGCCAGCTGGCTGTCTGTTGCTCCGAAGTCAAGCCAAATGACAAAGCCAACAGGCCACGGAGCACCGTGGCTGCCCATCGGTGGGGCTAAGAAGCCACGGCTAGTCCCAGTCACCTTGAAAAGCTGGCAGGCAGCGGCCGCAGCTTGTCGCTCGGCATCAATCTTCTTGGTCCCATAGCCTTCCACCTCCACCGTCTTTGGCCACTTGATCAGCAGTGTGACTTTCTACAAAGGAAGGGGGTGGGGGGGAAGCCAGCAATACATCAGATGTCCAGAATGCAACACTGAGCCCATCTTCTCCTTTCAAAAAAGGACCCTGAGCTTAACCCATTTGACTTATTTGATTATTATTTTTTAAACATATTATTTCAATAACTTTCAGCAATGTACATTCTATTTTGGCTAACAAAATCTGCATCAATAAACAACATACTTGAACTTTATGGGTGTGTGTTTAACGTAATACCATTACAAGGTGCTGAAACCTTTTTAATACAAGCAATATTGCTACTAAACAGCAACAAAACTATAAAAGTTATAAAGAATAATATATTTTTTTTTCTCCTTTAAAAAAATAACATATCCTGAAAGTTGGGTTCGAAGGAATTTTCCACTGAAGTTCACTAATATCAATGCTGCAATCTTATTGCCACAATTTTTGATATCTAAGGGGTTTATTGCTCGCCAAACTGATTAAAGCTTTATATAATTTTGATACTACACCTCTATTTTCACCCTCATTATTTTTAATTAATAATTCAAATTCTGATAAGTACCTAAATATTCCAGCATGTGTTTTATTTGTAAATATCGGGAGCAAGGGACAGACTCCTGTAATTTATCTTCTAATTGTGACTTATCCAGGATTTTACCTTTTTAAAGCCCTGCCTGTTGCCGATTTTTAAATCCATTCTGTTCTTTCCCAGGGGCAAACCAATTTTGGTTTTAAAAGAATTACATTATAGAAACATCTGGAGCTAGTTTCCTGTGTTTGGCATCCCATATCTTCAAGGTGCTAGAAATACATTATTTTTCAACTGAGGTGTTCCAAGATGAGGTTTGGACCCATGGCTCTGATAATGGAGTTACAAAAACTTGTTCTGTATGTATCCAATCCTCTGTTGGATTTTGTTCAACATCTTCACTATGTTGGAGAGATTAGCAGCTACGTAACCGCTGTTTAAATTCAGAAAGTCTAGACTACCTCAATTGATGGGTCTGTACATGTTATTATTTTTGAATCTTGCCTTTTTGGTGCCAGTTTGGTGTAGTGGTTAAGTGCACAGACTCTAATCTGGGAGAACCGGGTTTGATTCCCCACTCCTCCACTTGCACCTGCTGGATGACCTTGGGCAAGCCATAGTTCTGTCAGAGCTGTTCTTGAAAAAGAGCAGTTTCTGTCAAGAGCTCTCTCAGCCCCACCCACCTCACAGGGTGTCTGTTGTGGGGAGGGGGAGGGAAAGGAGATTGTAAGCTGCTCTGAGACACCTTTTGGTAGTGAAGGGCAGGGTATAAATCCAATCCTTCTTCTTTTTATGGGACCATGCTAAATTATTTATAGTTTTCTGCCGGTTATAAAGTTATTTCTCTGTAATTTGTATTGGTAAAGAATTCGACCCATTTTAAAATCACCTGCTCAAAACTAAACATCAAGAACAACTCCCCATCTCCGGGCGGTTTCAATAACATCGGCCACTTCTGCTTCTGGGCTCCTTTCCCCTGTAACCTAGGCCAGTCAGCAGTCCATCTAGTCCAGCATCCTGTTCCACAGAGGAAACAGCCAGTTGCCCTGGAGGGCCAAGCAAACAGGGAACACAGGACAAGGCCCTCCCCTGCTGCCGCCTCTGAAGCCTCTGTAGATGGAGGCTCCCTCGGTCACCACGACTAGTAGCTACTGATGGACCATCCACCACCTCTCTTAACGCCCTTTTCAAGCTACCTACAGTCGTGGCCACTGCTATGTCCACTGGCAGGGATATTCCACAGTTTAACTACTAATGGAGTAAAGAAGTATTTCCTTTTGTCTGTCCGTCATTGTCCAACTTCATTGGATGACCCTGAGTTCTAGTATGTTGAGAGGGGGAAAAGCTCCCGCTGTCCAATTTCTCCACCATCTGCGGGATTTTATAAACAACTACTATGTTTCTCCTTAGACATCTTTTTTGTAGACTGAAAAGTCCCAGACTCTTTGCTTTTCCTCATAGGAAAGATGCTCCAACCCCTTAATTTTTAAATTTATTTTATTTATAATTTCAATTTACAGACCTCCCTCCCTGCAATACGGGCTCAGGGCGGCTCAGAAATAGGCATACGCCAACACATAAAAACAGTTAAAACCATAAAAACCATTATTACAAAATTACAACATACTAAGTGCTCCAGATGTTCTAAACATTTCATCAAGATGGCGTGTCTAAGATGGTACATCCAATCTGTGCTATCAGTTCCACGTGGCATTGTCATTCTCTCTTCCCAGGGCCAGTTAATAATGATGGTACAATAGTGGCGGCTCCTACCCAAAGGCTTGGCGGAAGAGCTCTGTCTTACAGGCCCTGCGGAACTGTGCAGGTCCCGCAGGGCCTGGATCTGTGCAGGTCCCGCAGGGCCTGGAGCTCGTTCCACCAGGAAGGAGCCGTCACCGAAAAAGCTCTGGCCCCGGTAGCGGAGATGTTGCGTCCCCGACCTTAGTGCTCGCAGGGGAACATGTGGGGAAAGGCGGTCCCTCAGGTATGTTGGACTCCGGCCATATAGGGCTTTAAAGGTAAGAAACAGCACTTTGAAGCGAATCCGGCACGCTGTTGGCAGCCAGTGCAGCGCTTTCAGCACAGGCCGGATGTGGTCCCAGCTAGGGAGACCCATCAACAGCCTGGCCGCAGCATTCTGCACCAGCTGCAGCTTCCGGATTTGCGACAGAGGCAGCCCCATGTAGAGAGCGTTACAGTAGTCTAACCTTGAGGTGACCGTCGCATGGATCACTGTGGCCAAGTCATCGCGGTTGAGGAAGGGAACCAAAAGCTGACTTAGCAGTGGCTGCCACCTGGGCCTCCATGGTTAGGGAGGGATCCAGGAGCACTCCCAGATTCATAACCTCCGATGCTGGCACCAGAGGCACCACAGCCTGCAATGCCCGGTTCAGATCTTCTGGACTAGAGCCCGACCGCCCGGCCAACATCACATCTTGTTTATCCTCTTTTGTACTTTTTCAAGCTCTGTAACCCTTTTCTGACGTGCAGAAACCAGAACTGTACACAGTATTCCACAAGGAGGCAGCACTACAGTGTCACAGTACTGGCCGTTTTACCTTCCTTTCCTAATAATCCCCAGCAAGGGGTTTGCCTTCATTCGCTACTCTGCACATGGAGTCAACCCTTTCACTTCACTTCCCACTACAACCTCAGGCTCCTCTGCTCATGATGGAACTTCCTGACAGTCAGCGTCTTCCTTTCCTTTTTGTCTTTAGGCTGCACAGCAGCAGCAGGAGGAGGAGATTGGATTTATACCCAGCTCTTCACTACCCGACGGCGGAAGACAGGAAGGCCTGGCGTGATCTCCTCCATGGTGTCGCGAGGAGTCGGACTCAACTGTGCGACTGAACAACAACAACTTCACTACCCAAAGGTGTCTCAGAGCGGCTTACAAACTCCTTTCCCTTTCCCTCCCCACAACAGACACCCTGTGAGGCAGGTGGGGCTGAGAGAGCTCTGACAGAAACGGCTCTTTTTCAAGAACAGCTCTGATCAGAACTATGGCTTGCCCAAGGTCATCCAGCAGGCGCATGTGGAGGAGTGGGGGAATCAAACCCGGTTCTTCCAGATTAGAGTCCGCACACTTAACCATGACACCAGACTGGCTCTCAAGAGTCTCCCTCAGCAAAAGTGCTTTCCTTGTCCTGCACAGAAACACAGGTCAAGATTCACCAGCATCAACCACCAGGCCTGTCAGGATCACCACTCACAGCAGCTCAAACAAAAGGCTGCAACGGAGACTCCCAGGGATCAGATGGATTTTACCCCCCCCCCACATCATGCGTTATCAAACTTGGGATGAGCGCAGAGGGTACCTTTTTCCGAGGCCCATTGGTATGAATGTACACCAGTTTGTCCCGTGCATGGGAGATGCCCAGGGCTCTTCCAATCACACTGTTGAGTAAATTTTTAGGCTGGGGAAATTCCTTCAACAAATCTCTTGAATCTGAAAGAAAATGGAGAATGTTAAACACCTGTCAGTTTCAGGAATTTTCGTAGCAAGAGCCAGATCGGCAATGTTCCGAGCATCCATGGTGGGGTCAGCACTGCCCCTATTTAGCAGACAAGTGGAATCAGTGAGCTCCCATCCAGCTCTGTCTCCCACAGTTCTAGTGTTGCGGAGACCTGTGTGTCCACCTACGATCCCTACAGCTCGCTACTCCCCTGTGGACCAAGGAACGCAACACCCAAGAACATTTCTGGGTGCCTAATGTGCTTTTCATTTGGAGCTCAGGCGTGCTGTGTTACTTGCTGCCCAGCTTCAGGATCTCCTGTATGCTAATTCCATCTTTCACATATGTGTGTGGGCATTTTTTCCCCATCAAGTCACAGCTGACGTATGGTAACCCCTTGGGGTTTTCAAGGAAGAGAACGAACAGAGGCAGTTTGCCATTGCCTGCCTCCATGGCACAACCTCGGACTCCCTGGGTGACCTCCCATCCAAATAATGACCAGAACTGACCCTGCTTAGCTTCTGAGATCTGATGAGATCGGGGTAGCCTGCCTTTAACACATGAACTTTATATTTTCATGTTTTCACCTGGCAAATCATTAATGAAACTCCCTTCTAGATTTGTGGGACCTATTCCTTGGGGGCATACACAGGACTGCAACAGCTGGAACGGTGAACCAAGGAAGAAGGAAAGCCAAAGTTATTCTTCTACTTGCAGTGTTACAACTAATGAGAAAGCAAAAAGGGGGAAATGCAGAACAGAAAAAGTTTTGAGGAAATGGCTGGTGATTGGACAGACAGACCCAGTCCAGTGGATTCCTCAGTGACGAAGAGGAGAAGGAGATTGGATTTATATCCCGCCCTTCACTACCCAAAGGAATCTCAGAGCAGCTTACAAGCTCCTTTCCCTTCCCCTCCCCACAACAGACCCCTGGTGAGGTAGGTGGGAGCTGACAGAGCTATGACAGAAACAGCTCTTTTTCAAGAACAGCTCTGAGAGAACTACGGCTTGCCCAAGGTCATCCAGCAGTTGCAAGTGGAGGAGTGGGGAATCAAACCCGGTTCTCCCAGATTAGAGTCCTTGCACTTAACCACGACACCAAACTGGCTAACTTCATCAAACCCTAGAAATCGCCAATCTATAGGAATATTACCATACCAAGCCATTCCAACAAAGGATTCAAGATAGCGTGGATTTAGAACAGGCTAAATATTGCTAAAATATTTATGCCAATATTAGTGCAACTAATAGAAAGTGAACTCAGAGTCGTGTGAGAGGAAGGCGAGGAAGACGGCAAAGGTTTCCAGGGGAAAGACCACCAGGGCAGGCTTCTTTAACCAGATCACCACCCTTGGCATCTCTGAGCCCTGAACAGGCCGGCAGCCCATCCGGAGACAAAAAACTGGACTTTGCTACCGACTGCCCGGGGGGCCACGGACGGCCAGGAGCAAGTGAAGGCGGGCAAGGCCACGGCCAAACCACCTCTTTAGCTTTGCGTGGGGTTTGCACGCACGCAAGGTCGTCCCTTGGCCAAGGCCGCCTCCCTCCCCAATAGGAAACAACACAAATGCAACCCCACGTTCATCAACGGGGACGAAGGCTGCAAAGCGTTCCTCGTGCGAGAGCGGGGAGAGAGCTGGGGAAGACGACCCCGCGGGGGCCTTCCCGAGCCCAGGACGGGCCTCCAACACGCCTCGCTGGAGGGAAACCCAAAGTTATGAATGGAGGGGGGACCGCGCATTTTGCAAGCGCAGAACCCAAATCTGCAAGCCGAGCCCGCGGGCAGGGTCGGGGCTTGGATCCCGACCCCCCCCTCCCCATAT